ACATCGATCAGAAAAGATATCTGCTGTAATTTGCGACTCTGTTACCAATTTTTTATTATCAACTAATTTTATACAGTAAAGTGGTTGTTGCTTTTGATCGGGGCAGTATTCATATTCGTAATAAGACTGGGTTCAAACGTTTGGTGTTGTGACGACGAGGGGTTCAACCGTCGAGGGATCGCCGTAATTCCCGATTCTGTTACCAAAGTCAGGTATCTTCTAGTTTTATCCAGTAAAATGTTGCAACTTTTGACAAATAATGCTGGGTGCAAATGATGAGAAGTGTGACGTCAAGCGGTTATACCGTCGAGGGGTCGAAACGTCGAGGGGTCTAATCGTCCTGGGGTCCAAACGGCGAGGGGTCCAAACGACTTGTAATCTCCGGGTTTACGGTACTCGCCATAAGAGCTTGCAGATGTTATATCGGTGTACTGAATTAGTAACGTCTGAGATGCACACCAGACTCTTCTTGATTTGTTTCTTGTGTAACCATTAGGTGCCTCTTCTTTATTTATAGGACGAATGTTTTACTTGTTTTACCAAGTTGTGTTCGAGGAAACTTTGAATATCAAACATTACATAATTCCTAAGTAAATTCTGTTTTGTGCTCTCGCAACGCAAATTTTGAATGCATGACAGGATTTATTGTGGTGAAGACAAATAATAACTTTATTGATACAATGTCAGAAAGTACCAGGATGTGTAACTTTCCGGGGTCATTCAGGCAAATACTGAAAAAAATGTATTCTTTTCCAGCATGTCAACGAGTACAGCGGCATTCAGCAGTGATTGGGTAGGAGTGATACAAAGAACTGTTGAAGTGGAGAATTCTATGAAAACTGCTGATACTGAATTACAGGATAAATATGAAATCTGTCGATGTATTGAATTCATAAAAAGTGGGAAATATCAAAAGGTGAGACATCCTATATACATTTCAAAATGTGTCATCTTCCTGATACATGTGTATTTAGATTATTAACAAAACATAAGTTTGCATTCATCATTAAGGGAAGAGTCAAAATGTGAGTGTGAAAACGGTCGGGCTGAGTCGGCTTGTGTTATTAAAAAATTTGATCATGGTCCCAAAAGATGCTCGGGTCGAAACTCAACATGTGCAGAAATCTGTTGAACACTTGGCACAAACCAAAATCTTGCCCTCAGTGGTGAATTTAAGCTCTGACAACTAATAAACAGACTGACAACTCTGTTGTTTAGAGGTGTTAATCGGCCTAATCCTCTGCAAAGGTGCGTCTCGGCTACGCTGGAGGCTCACGCTTTGCCGAATGGTGAGTACACACATTGAGAATCCTCGGTCTTAAATTTTGCTGTTCATATATTAGAAAACCTATGAAAATATGATACATCAGGACAAGAAGTGTACCAGTCAACTAAATCGAGGCAAAATTAATATAACGATCTCAAAATAGTATTGAAGCGATGTTTTGATTTTTTACTTGTGTGTCGCAATGTCGCTCCAAGAGAATGCTTATTACTTACCTTTACCTGAATTATTGCCACTGCTATTTAGTTTGGTCTGCAGCTGAATTTTATATTTTCTGTTTTATTGTTACTCAGGCTTGTTTTATGATTGTCGGGCCCACAGGAATCACTAACGTAAGGAAAATATGAAACTTCGTTCTGACCTTTTGCGTCACTTCCTGTTGAAACACCGCAGTATCTTGCGAGGTCGTGCGTTTTCACGTGACTTCCTGGACATTTTCTTATCTCTCCAGTTGTTTATAAGCTTAAAACATTATCGCAAAAGTAAACACAAGACATACGTTAGCTCAAAAGAAATACCCACATTGCCAGTCTGTTTATTAGTTGTCTGAGATTTAAGACAACATAAAATGTGAAACATGAAACGAATGCAAACTGTCGTCAGCGACACATAATTATGTGCTGCTGCAGCTGTTTTTTTTTTCCTGCAATGCTACATCATTGTGAATCATTTTGAAATGTTCTTTGCTGTTCATCATGTACACGATGACTCGTACCGGTAATAAATACCATAACAACAAATGGATATAATTTCAATATAGTAATTATTATTATCATATGCATATTGTTTTCCATGTTTGAGTCAAATAACAGATCAACGAATGAGGGCGTGATTTCGGCACAAGGATAATCAACATAATGATTTGCAAATTTACTATACGTATTTAATAACTTTTCTTCATTTCTCGTTTATCTACATTGTATGTAATTCACTAAAAATTAACCATATCAAAATAACATGTACATATATTCTAATGAATGTGTTTCATTTTGAAAAATTGCACTTAACCTTCAATTAGTATAATAATGAATTGACTGCGTGCCTGTCAATGGAACATCACCGTCAAGTCAAGATCAGACAAAAGTGTTTTGCAAAGTGCCAAGCCGTCTTGCTAACTGACTCTCCAAACAAGTCTCAGAATGTCTGCAATTGCTTACCGGTACTATTGTTAAGTTTCACATTTTTTTTATTTTGTTTTGTTTTAAAGGTTGCCCTACAATTTCCAGACCATTTATTGGTGGATTCTGTAGCTATAGCAACTGAATTGGAAAAAAATACTGGTGCTAAATTGTTTGTGCTTGGAGATACTTCCTATGGAAGGTAAGTAAATTTGTTGTTCAGAGGGCTTGAGAAGGACAGCATGTTTTATAAAACATGCAGATATAGTAATGTGATTGGCTAAGTGGTGTAATTAAGTATCACAATCATGTTATTTATGCCAATTTTTGGGGTTTCCCAAACTATTCTTTGGTATGCATGATTTTGGCAAATTTATATCGGGATGAAATCCTGAATTGACTGAGGTATCATTAACCATTTGTCTTTGTAATTAGATTCTCTGTCATTGAAGGTGACAAGTGGAGTTGTCGTTATTGGTTATTGACAGAACTGTTGGTATAGGTGATTGTCCTGCATCAACTTGTTTTGTTCAAACTACTTCTTAAAAATCGTCATCTATCCTGCTTTTTTACTCGATACATACATGTTCTTTAGGTGGACCTTTGTGAGATTTAACCCTTTTGTGACGATATCTTCAATTATCTATTTTTAATTTTTATTTTTTGGTCAATAATGTTATTTTCGACTTCTTGTTGAAAACTTATATTCCTATGGCTTTGATAATTGGTATATGTGTCACTTGGGTGGACCTCTATTAGATTTTTAATATTTTGTGACGATATCTTCAAATCTGCAATTCTATTTTGACGCTCATGAGTGGATAAAGTTTTATAAGTTTTTTTTATATCAAAGAATCTTTTTCTTGTTTCCTACTACAGCTGTTGTGTTGATGAAATTGCTGCCCAACATGTCAATGCTGACTGCATTATACATTTTGGTAGATCATGTTTAAGTCCAACACGTCGTCTTCCAGTCTTGTATGTTTTTGGCCGTCAAGAAGTTGATATCGACCATTGCTCGTCAGTTTTCAACAAACTTATTGAAGATACAAGTACGCATTTAGTGGTTATGTATGACGTGGTGTATTCCCATATTATTAGTAAGTATATGTATATGTCTATCTAGAATTGTAATTACTAAGTTATAGACTTGTTTCTATTGCCAATATTTATTAGTTATAGAGCTGTGTTCTCTCTATAGGGTATGCTTAATTTCAGTCACTAACGTTTTGAACACCACCATTTTTTATATCAATTTTGCTGTAACATTTTGTAAATTTTTAGAAATTTTTCTATAATTAGTCCCCGTTCAGACGCAGTTCAAAAACAAGGACTTATGTTTTGACCTCCGTACGTGCGTGTGTGTGTCCGAACCTGTATCTTTAAATGCCTTGATCAATCACAATCAAACTTCACACATACATCATACATGATATTATACATATGCACGTCAGTTCGTTTCATGATCTGATTCAAGATGGCTGAATTTTGTTCCAAAAATAATCAGAATCAAGCATTTCTCAACTGTTTACAGATGGATTTTGTTCAAACTTGGTATATACGGTGGACATTATAGGACCTTGATGCACATCATTTTGTTTTTCAGATAAGTTTTAAAATGGCCGACTGGTTTTAATGAATGTGGTTCTAGTGCCATATCTCTGACTTGCTTTGACAGAATGTCATAGTTATACAGATATATTGGTTTGACAATCCTATTAAAAATGGCAGATTATATATTCATTATACATGTATTCAAATGACTGATTTTGTTTTAATTACTGCTGTTCCAGAGCAATAACTCTTAATTCTCGTTTGACGATCAGATACAAATATCAATCATTTAAATGTTAAACATATTCCTGAAATGTTTATATTCCAGCTATATTACTATAAACAAAATTATATATCTTAAATTCGACAGGAACTGTGCCATGCATGGCTTGTTTCTTTATTAATTCTAGACAAGATGGATTTCCCATTAACTACTGTAATACTGTAAAATACTTTATTTTAGCTGGATTAAATTTTCGCTGAAAAGAGTTTTTGAGTGTTTTGTATGGAATTTATTTTCACTGATTTTTTACAAGTTGAGTGTAAAATATAGGAAAAAAGGTATATTTGCATGATTTTATTTTCACCGAATCATTCTTTCAGCGAAAATAGCGAAAATTAATTTCAAGCGAAACTAATTAAAAGTATTTTACAGTACTTATCTTGATCAAAATATTAAACAAGCAGCTGAGATAACTCCGCTGCACATTTCAATTAAGAACAGAAGATATCATTTGAAAATGAAAAAATCTGAAAAAAGGTCTATCTGAGGAGGTACCTACATGTATAACATCAAAGCAATCGGATTTGCGGTTTTCAACAAGAAGTCAAAAGTATCACTTTTTACCAAAAATAACAAAAATATTCATCAAAATTAGAGAATTGAAGATATCATATTGAAATGAACAAATCTGAGACATAGTCGACAGCAGAGCTAAAAAAAAGAAGAAAAAAATGATTTATTTTGTGAATGGTGAGTTGACTTTGGCACTTAAACTCGTGATTGGTAAAAATGACGTTGATCACATACAAATTGCTGTTCAACTCTTACCCTTGGATAGTGTGCCAATAGAGAGGTCAGATTTCATTGCGTGGGATGCATTCATGAAAATTCAACTGTGACAAAAACTTGGTTTTTGTGTTTGACTTTGTCTGTTGAATGCAGAGGGTGCGCATACAATTTTCATACTGGCATTTGGCAGAAAAATGGTCAAATAAACCTTTGTGACATTCGGTAGTTCCAAACAGAATACAATGTATGTGGCAAAGTATACTGCATGTACAAATGGTCAGGAGATGAAACGTGACAATTAAAAACAAATAACTGTAAACGCATTAATTATTCATTGTTTTTAATTAGCTATTTTTGTAAATACCTATATGTCATTTCTGCTCAATACATTGATTAACGGCATCACAATTTTTCTAAGAAGCCAACAATTGTACGTTTTTCTAAATTTTGCTATAATTATAGTACAGGATGCCATAGGAATATTACATCAACCATATAATATAATTTTGAGTTATTATTTAATCGTTTACCATAGCAAATTATTCAATATCTCAACTCTCTTGGGGTTTTAGGTTTTAATTGCCCTGTAATTAATTCGCAAGAAAGCCAAAGAAGTGTCAAAATGTCTCTTGTCTGTTATATCTGGTCTAAACTTTTTTTCAGTTTCACGGATACAATAACTTGTCTAATATTGATGTGATTATTGTCAGATTTATGCAGGGTTTGATCTAGAGGCATCGAAGGCCATACTTGCCTTGATGCCAAATGAGTTTGCCTTGGTCCTTTTGATATTCTCCATGTTATTCTTTTATGGTGAGACAATTTTATCAATTTTTGCCTCAAATATGGGTGTCCTCTCAATCCTGAAGTTCAAGCTCTGTTTATACCCTATTTATTCTATTAAAAGTGCTTCTCTGATAGAATATTATGTGCCATGTATGTACATTGCATTAACTCACTACAAGTTGTACAAATGTATGTAACAATTCTTTTACCTATATGCATGCGAACCAAGTTACATGCACCCTGAAGCTTCAAAGCTATTGTCAGTACAGTGGAGACTATACAATGATCTACATCTTTAAAGTGATCCCATACAATTCTATATATCCACAAAAAAATCCCATATGATCCTGTATGTCCCCAGTGATTCCATATGATACTGTACATCCCTAAAGTGATCCAATACAATTTTATATATCCACAAAGTGATCCCATATGATCCTGTATGTCCCCAGTGATTCCATATGATCCTGTATATCCCCAAAGTGCTGCCATGTGATTCTGTATATCCTCAGTGATTCCATATGATCCTGTATATCCCCAGTGATTCCAGATGATCCTGTATATCCCCAGTGATTCCAAATGATCCTGTGTATCCCAGTGATTTCATATGATCTTGTATATCCCCAAAGTGCTCTCATGTGATTCTGTATATGTGTGTCCATGTGATTCTGTATTTCCCCAAACTGATCTTGTATGATCCTGTATATTCCAATAGTGATCCATTATGATTCTGTATATCACAAAAATGATCCTGTACGCTTTGTATATCCCCAAAGTGATCCCATATGATTCTGTATATCCTCACTGATCCTATATATCCCCAAAGTGATCTTTTGTGATTCTGTATATATATCAAAAGTGATCATGTACATTTTGTGTATCTCTTGTATGATCTTCATATTGCAAGCTTACATTGTCTGTACTTTCACAGGTTTACTTGAAGCGAAGTTATCACATATATACTCCAACATGGTCATAAGCAAATTTAAATACGAAAATAATTCAACCGAAAAAGACAATTATAATGGTGGGACTGAACCAAATTTGGTTACAGATGATATCCAAACTTTTACAATATCTGGTAGACAAGTAAGTCTGTCTCCAGGGAAGCAAATCGCAGATTACATCATCCTTTATATTGGAGGAGAGAGTCTAACGTTAACAAACCTTATGATGTCATTGAATAGGTGTACTTTTTTCACCTATGACCCCCAAACCAGAAGAGGTCAACAAGAAACTCTGAATATCAACAAAGCTTTAATGAGGAGGTATTACCTGATTGAAAAAGCTAAAGATGCTAGAGTTGTCGGCATCGTAGCTGGTACACTGGGCGTGGCTGACTACATGAATGGAATCAGCAGAGTGAAACAACTTGTCAAGAAAGCTGGAAAGAAAAGCTATACGTTTGTGATGGGAAAGATTAACATTGCCAAGATGGCAAACTTTATGGAAGTTGATGTGTTTGTTTTGATATCCTGTCCAGAAAATAGCCTGATTGACTCGTCTGAATTCTATAAACCTATTGTGACACCGTTTGAAATGGAGATTGCATGCAATCAAGCTAGAGAGTGGACAGGGGACTACGTGACAGATTTTAGGCAGCTGTTACCAGGTAAATGCTGAATTGTGAACTAATGGAACTTTTTTATACTGATAATTATTATAAGATAGATGTATTACTACATTTACATGTTCACAAAGATGGAGCTCAGTCACAATCCCCCAAACTTTGTCCGGACCAATCACAAGCATGAACAGGCAATGGTTTTTCGAATTGATGCCTTTGTTTTAGGTACCAGTTAAGTCGCACCTGAACCAACTTGCCCGATACTAACTCTCCTGATAACCAACTCGATTTTGTTTTCATCGTAAACAAGGTACCAAACATGTATTTAGCAAATTGAGTTTGAGTGAGTCGGTATTAGTTAATTTAAATTTTTCCCTGAAAAGACATTTTGGGTGTTTTGTATGGAATTTATTTTCACTGGTTTTTGATAAGTTGAATGTAAAATATAGGAAAAACGGTATATTCACTGGATTTTATTTTCACTGAATCATTCCTTCAGCGAAAATAGCAAAAATTAATTCCAAGCAAAAAGTGTTTCACAGTATTTAGAAATTTTCAGCTGATTTCCTTTATATCCTGTTTTGGGACTGAGGTTTATCAGAACATACATGACATACACTGTACATGAAAAAGTTTAATGACCTTCCCCGACTTGGGGGAATTATCCCATCTGGAAATGCTATATGCCTGTAATTGCAGCCGACCAGATGAGTCAAATATGCTATTGCATGATGCCAGGCAGGCATAGTGTTGCTCATCAGGGTAATTTGTATAATGAATGTGAATGTGTTTTAATGTAGGTGGTGACAACTTTATTGAGATGCCAAGTGATGATGTGTCTGGTAATCTGGAAACTGACGTGTCACTGATAACAGGTGGTATACGGAGAATGGGGGAAGAAAAAGATGATATAGCCGTCAGTAGTAGTGCCATAGTCAAACGTGATGATGTTTTAACTGTATCTACAGTTCATGCTACCAGTGGTGAGTCATTACACAGCTTACCTCAGTAATGTTTATCACAGTTTGCATTTTGAAAAACATCTTTTGTGTATTTTCATTGCCTATTTATCACATTGCACTGTTTATTTATCTATCGCACCTTCTGTTTATCATGCTCAGATAAATTATTTTCATTTTCTGAAATAATGCATCCCTGACCCTGATTATTTAGTGGCACAACTAGTTATGCTCATTTTTTGATGCGTCATTGAGTATCAACATTATTGTACATCTTGAAAAAAAATTTCACTGTGGTTTTGGAATTTGATAAAAGGAAATTCCTTATTAGTATTTCATGAAAAAAATAAGGGTGAATATTAATAAATCAGGGGCCACGCTATTTGTGTTTGTACCCTTAAAAATAACCTAGAGCCACATACAGTCTTAATTTTTTTTAAAAACAGCAGTCAAATTTAACCCAACTTGATTTTTAGAATTTCATCCCAGAACAACTTCAAATCAAGCAAAGATTTAATTTCAAATGGTTTCACTTTCGTTTACAATTGCTCGACAAGGACTGTGTCAACTCATACTCATAGACTTGTTTTTATCAGACCATTTCTTGATCGAAATAGGCAATCTTAGAAGTTAGGTAGTGATATTTGTGTTTTCCCAAAAGTTGCACTGTATTCAGAAAAGAATATATATTGATATATTAACTGATAATGAGTTAGTTGATTCTGACTGATTCATAACGCTAGTCATTTTGTGACACAACTCTGCATTGACTCAGCTTATGATATAATTTACAATATAGATGTCTCAACGGTTTAACTAATCCCTCATTTTTTTCACAGCTGAGTATTTATCCTCCCGATCATGGCAAGGTTTAGAACAGCGACTCGGAGAGACGTCTGTGAGTCAAGCCATTGAAGGTCAAAAAGGTATCGCCTCTGGGTATGCAAATGAGAAGAGTTCTTCCAAAGAGACATGATAATGATTTTTAGATCCCATGTTGTGAGTTTACTGGCTTTGTATGGGTGTATGATTGTTCTTCTTGAAAATCATTAGAATGAGATTCAGTGCAATATTCTATGGAACGATCCACAGATAAGATTTGGGTTCAAATCTGTGTTAGTAACTACATCATTTGCTCAGTAACATTAGCTGATTAGATCTCTCTCACTCAAATTTTAACAGCATCAAATATAAAAACTTTGAAATGAAATGAAAACGAAGCAACAAAACAATTTCATATATTACATAAGGCATCAATACTATTGGGTATTCACAAGAATAAAGACGTGCCATTATGAGCCATTGATGGCACAATGGACCGGAATGAGCATAAATACTCTCCCGACTAGTCTACCCACCACAATATACTACTATATATTAATGTAGGTCAAAAAACAGACAAGATTGTCAAATTAAATGCTTATGATTGCATACATAGTGTATTACATACTTGCATGTTATGATTACCATACAGAAGGTTTCAATAGGTGATTTTCCGTACAATTGCAAGATCTCGCGAGATGCATGAAAGACGCGCGTCGGACGTCTGCCGCAAAAATCGAACGATTTGATTTTGAACTCGAATTTCTTTATTTCGTAGCTCACATCGACCGGCCGATCTTCGACAGAGGAATATTGCTTCCGAATACCATTACTTAATCAAAATTGTTTATTATCAAATGTGGACAGCACATTATTAAGCATGAAAATGTCCCCCAAAATACTTTCGCGTTTGTCGAATCCCACGGGATGTTTGACGCCACTACAATGCTATGACCTTTGTTTGTCCTGTTTTTACGTTCGATTTCACGCATAACACGTGATTCTCGCAGTGAACGGAAAATGGTCTATTATGCCTTAGGTATCTGGTTTTGTGAAGCCTTTTGCCACATACGGAATGAACTATGCAAAAATTTTTAATTTACTTTCTACTTATTCAATCCAAAGGAATTGTTGGCTATATTCGACCCACACATTTATCCAAGATATTAAACTTGGATTTTGATTAATTTGGTGTTACTACTTTAACAATCTTATTTTCATATTTGGGTGACTAAGATTTGCAAATGTATGCTGTTCAGTTATATCAGTTTGAACTTCTATAATTATCTCAAACTTTGCGAAAAATTGTTTGTCGTGGATGTCTCATCTTAGTAATGAGCTCATTTGCATATTGATCATGCAAACTCTTACTCCTTCATATAACCATAGACCTTAGAAAACAAGGTCTATGATATAACACATCAGACATTTAATCTTTGCGGTACACCTTTCTCATTCATTATTATAAGAATAGTGATATCTAGAATCAGTCCGATACAAAAGTACTTTACCAAGGTCTTTTAATTCCCCGTGCACCACAATTGTACCTGTCTGGACTTTGGTTCAGCATTTTACCTGTTTTATGTGGTTTTCTATAATTTTGTTCTCATATTTTTAACCAGAGGGACATAGTTTCCTATTTACTACAGGTCTTGAAGATAATTTTGGAAAAACTGAATCGGGACAAATGTTGACTTTGGTATGGCCGCTGATTGAATGGGAAACAATAGTGTATGCGAACTACTTCTATTAAACCATGTAGTATACTGTGCTAATAAAATGAAAGTAATTGAATTGTATGCTGCTGTTTACTCCCATGTGGAAGAACACAATGGGAGTCCTTACAGTTAGTGCGTCTGTGTATACTAAGCTTTTGGTTGAAATTTTTACATATTGATACTTAATTTAAATGTGTGCATAGTAATTACCTAGTTTGCATATTAATTTGCCTGTGAACATCAAATCCTGTTGTCAACTGATATCGATGCAACGTCTTTTGCGATTCCAATGTGATTTCAAACGTTCGACGTGCATGATTAAGTTACAATATTTCACTAAGTTGCATCCACGAAAATATTAATTACGTTTTTTGATGCACGAACTTCAGAACAAAGATATGCCTACCCAAAACATTAACTAGTAAAATTTCAACTATTTTGATATACCGTGTTTTCAAAAACGTGTTACAAAACGCCTGGAGTTGGCAGGACAATTTGTGACTGGGTGCAAGTAAACTCTAGAGCACAATATTATTTGTCGATTTTCAAACAAAAACAAGTTTACGCCAAAATACATGAACAAAGCGATACATGAACTAGTCTGTTGTAAACATATTTAATACAGCATATTTTAAAAATTGGGTTATATAAACTACCTTAAAGGTGTGATATGGCGGTTGTGGTCTTGTTGCGTGCGGCCAGACGCTAAGGTAATATAACATTGCGTATTAAGAGACGTCCCTCGAAAAAAACATTTTATTTCTTCGTATGTTTGCAGTTGCTAGTCCCTGTATTCGCTTTTGTCATGTGGCTGCTATTGCTGACAAATTTGCAGCCCGAACCTCTCAGTTCGCCCCCTTGCAATCATACGACACCAATTTCCCACACGAAGTTCTGTTTCTAATCCCTGGTTTCGGATGACAACTAATTAAAAACATGTAGTATGAGTCAAATGACAATCAAATCTCTCTCAATTACGATAATTGGTCATGCTATTATTTGCATGTAGGTGACGAACTTCATTTTGTACCGTATTAGCTTTAATGGGGTGTGTGTAGACTAGCGGAGTCAGGCGATTAATTTGTTTTTGTAGTTTAAATAAAATAAAATTAATCGCGCTGACACCTCCATTTCGCGATTTTTTAAAATTTTATTTAAACAATTAAAACATTGTAATCGCCCCGACTGCGCCAATCTAGGGTATGTGGTATAGTGAGGTGCTTTCTGTCTTGACGATTTGCTTGCCGTGGTCATTTGAATTTCACGTGTTGCGTATTTGCCATGTCGTGAGTTTGAATCTCGAATTACTTGTTCGTAATGTGCCTGATTTTACATTATAACATGTATACGAGTAATTGATATACAACAACACAGGTATTTGATTAACGTACCACGTTAGTGAACAAGGTGAAAGGTTGTGCACGGGAACAGCTTGGCATATATTCACACACACCCGATGTTACAAAAAACACGTTATCGCAAGTGTTTTTATTTAAATTACTGTAACATTGGTTAACATTTCGATTTTTAATATCTCAAAATGTAAGATCACATTGCTGCAAGCACTGATACCTAGTTAATTCAAGTATAAATGTCGCTTCTCGACTCAGAAATTCACTCTTCTCCAGACCTATACTTTTAATGTTTCAATACATTGGATCGCACAATTCCAACGCCATGGGTACAATACATTCAGGTTGAAACAAACAGTCCATGGCGGTGTTTTAATATACGCTCGCAATAACAAAATTCATATCGTGTAAAGGGGGAGATAGTTTATATAATAATTATACAAACTTCGGGATATCAAAAGGTACATCGAAGGAGGGCGATGTGCACCAATGTTGGTAATTGTCTAGAAATGTGTTGTATCATTCATAGTAGTGTTACTGTTAACCCAAAATAACTGAATATATTTAAAACTAGGCAAACTAACCTAAGATCGGTACGTGACACCCGTTATATGTGTAAACAATTGTATCATTATTACAAACAACGAACAAACAAATCTCTCGTATGAAATCAAGTAATAAACTATAATATATATTTGAGTGGGTATTTTTAATTATTAGAATATGATAACGACAAAGGATTTGGTCAGCATTTTAAACCAGTTATCAATAGTGCAACTACATATGATAATTAATTTGTTCATTTTTTTAGAATAATAATATAGTGTAAATTCTAGTTATACAAACACGTCTGGTGTACTGGCATTAATACCTGTCCTGAATATTTTATCTGTGTTATCTAACCTTTGATGGTTTTAACATAACGAATTTCAGTTACTAAAAAATAAAAACATCGTTACGTGAATAATTGTGCGCATGAATTGACACAGTAAAAACAAATGCTACACATGTAACTGTCATGTTATAATTTGTATTTTAATGGTTAAAGACTTTAACTTGTTCAGTTCTACTAAACCAAGCAGCATACAGGGATGTTGTGCATTTCTCTGCTTATCCAGGATGCACGGAGCACGGGTATTACCCACACGTACCCTATAACGACAGTTTTTTTTTCAATTACACTTGTACAAGCATGCTTATATTGAACCTGATCCATTACTAATTATTATAATCTCGTTCACCCCATGTGTGGAATTCCAAATGTTAACATACAAGAGATGGATTGTCACCGAATGATGTATTAAAACCGCACAACAAAACAATTTATTGTCTTGTTTGAGATCATAAATTTAGTTTAAAATATCATGCAAAAATTCATCTAATTTGTTCTCCAACAACAGTATGCGGTTCTCGAGTTGGATCAGGTATTGACTCGGATCTTCTGTCTCGTTTCTTATGTGCTCCTTCTCATTGTGATCTGAATGAATAAATAAAAAGAAACAAATACACATATTTAGAAATCCAATGTTTAAATAGTACACTTAACGCATGTAGCTCACTCATACTTCAGTAATTGTTATACCATCGATAATATCTATTGTCTTTAGCTATAATCATCCCCTGGAACAAATAGTCTGCCTAAAGAGATCGTTCCGAAATATTGACGGAGGAAAAAGCGACCACACTACGAACATCACTAAATTGGTTAAAAATTGCATGAAATGTCAAATTTTATTTGCAATGCTGATCCACCAAAAATGAAGGAATCAGCTCAGCGAAACGTAGTAACACAAACTAAAATTATAAGAGAACTACGTCTAAACCTGGTACATACAAGATAATCTAAGAAAAAAAATTGTATTTACACGTAGGCGTGGATTGTTTTGTATGTGTTTATTAGCTGCAGCTTTCAGTGTCTTTACATTAACAGTGGTTTTATATGCCCGTATGTGGTGTGTATTTCCGAAACACGTGTCAGAAAAATTGGAGTTTATGGTTTGTGTTCTTATATAGGTTTCGGGTGAGTCTCGGTACTAACAGTAATTTTGCATGAATTCACAAGGTGATTAGTGAACTCGAAATACACTCTGCTAGATATCGTGTACATAAGGTAAATAAAAATGATTGTTTGGAAACATCGTCATCTATTTCTGTGGTTGTTCCACTCTGGTAATCATATACTAAATATTAGTTCTCAATTACGTACCATACTGCAGTTAGTGGTACTCACGTTTTCGGTACTTGCGTCCACTTTGTCTATATATATAGTGTTTGTACAGCCCGTGTAGTCGTTTATACAACTTCATACTGGTGATCCACTCCATTATCACATTCATGACGTCAGGATCTTTCCATTGCGTATCTAATTCCACCTGTGCCTGGGAACATGCATCACATATAACCGACTGAAGTAACATAAGAAGTATCCAGCTTTCAAGCACCACGTACGATGCGATAAACAACTGCCCAGCTTTGGTACTTTCAGACAGGATACCCTCACCATTTGCTTTGAGCGATCCACCAAGCACTGACAAAAGCGTGAGTAAGGTGTCGCGGACACTTTTAAAAGGTAACGTAGTTCTCCCGAAGTAGAAATATATCAGTTGGATATATGCAAATGTAACGATGACGAGAATTAATGAAAATGAAATGATTGAGTCTTTTGCGATGGACAAGGTCGCTTGGAAAATACGTGTACGTCTATGCAAGCCAAGTAAACGTGTGTAGCTAATGACAGACATGAACGATACAAGACCGACGAAAATTGCGAAAACGCCATCTATCAATACAAGGTATCGGAAATTTCCATAAAAACCTTGAAAAAAAAAACAGCAGTGGGATAACTTCATTAAATTGATAACACATATCATAAGATACCATTGTTAAATGACTAGTGTACATTTTACGTTATAAATCATAATGATACACGGGACAGTTTCTAAAATATACGAATAAGCACGACCAGTCGATTAGTCATTACGTGTGTTCGGGTGCAGCGTACGTAGTTTATGGCCTGTTGCGATACGATCGGTTAACCATAACACAATTTATCAAACTATAAATTGGATAACATAAAGTAACATTACCCCGGGACATTTCAGACAGTACATTATGCTAATATACATATATAAATAGTTGACTGACAAATATAATCGATACCTTTGTTCGATCCAGCTAAGGCCCAGTTTGTTATTTCAAGCCTCACAAAATACAGTCCAATACTGGTACTGGACAGCAAAGTTACGGTGAATTGAAAACGGTTCCAGAAACGATGAAAGTAACGTCGGCCATACTTCAATATTTGGCGGAAGCAGTAATACGACGCCCACATCACCACAATGAAATACGATATGTGGCACACCAGGGAAATGAAAATGTCAAAATCCATGGTCATGAGGTCAAATAAAGCCAACGTATCAATTCGCAAAGTGTCCGTAGTTGTGCCATGTTCAAAAAACTCGGTCAGAATTGTTACTAAACTGAGAACTCGAACATTTGGATTGTATGCAGCAAACTCGACAAAGACTGCTCTAGTGAGACTATCTATCCAACCAGCTTGTATCAGGTCGTTGATGCGATCTTGGGATTGACTTAAATTGCGTCCGAGAACTGCTATATAGCCATCACTGGAATACGGGTTTCCCATTTTACTCCAGAAATACGGCGCCATATGTTCACCGTAGAGGGAGCTGTGTGTCCATGGTTCGTATGACGTCATGGTCATATTGTCGATGGTTACATTATACTCAGTCCAACTCGTATTGAATGTGCCCTTCTCCTCCGCCAGTACGGAGTATTCAGCATTACACTCGGATATTATATTGCCCATTTTAATCGGTACAGTGCACGTACCTGTTTAACAGAAACAGTAGCAAGATACAAGTTACAAGATTAAATGTTCAAATTGCTAATACGCCCTCTGGAAACAAGACAATTCTGTTACGTCAAAATAACGTAGATAGTGCAACGTTGCTCAAATAGTCAACTCTGACATTGTCAAGTGGCCTCACTAACAGTAGTTGATATCACGAAAACGCTTCGTCGCCAGGGGTCGCAACTTGTTGGAAAACGTTTTCAACATTGAATTTGAATTATCTTTAATACACAATACCTGGTTTTATTCGCAGTTGACGTAAGACGACTGGAGCAATTACGTACGAGATAACATTTGTCAGCAGATCGATTCTACCTGCTTCCATCTTATGTCCGTTGTAATAATAACCAGAATGCAACGTTGCGGTCAATGTCTGGTTGAGCCAAGAGTAGTAACATGACATTTCGTTACACTGAAAGAATGTGATAATTATATGTAAATGTATGCTATAGATTAAACTAGAGAGATTAATTAATAAATTGTATATAATTAGGTTAATAAATTAGCTTACTGGGGATATATCACCACTCTTCACGATATTTGCCAGGGCTTTATTTGTATAATAGCTCGACTTCGGTCTATACGTGGTAGATATTTCCATAGAAAACAGTATCAATAAGGTGTACACTACGGCGTCTTTAAAAATGGTCTTTAAAATGATATCCTTCCGTTTAATGGTTTTTGCTTGCTTCATTGTCTGTTTATTTGGAGGCTGGTTGGGAATGGAACTCCCTGTTGGAATTTAAATAGACATCGATGGTGAATAATGAATTTTTATTTCTAATGCAAAATTATTACAATATAATACTATACTAAGTATGGATATAACATTGCTAGTTTTTTGGTAGATAGATACTCTGTAACACAGTGGATTTGTATCATTTTTATACGTACAAGAATAAACTACGACTATACTCGCTTCACATCAAGGAATAAAACACTATATTAATACTAAAATTGTAAATACATTTCTATTATCACCCGATGTAACAATGAAACGATCAGTTGAAGCCAGATTATTTATTTATTCTCATTAGAAAACGTTATATCTTAAAGTGCTACAACGAAATAGACGAATAATTAGGTACGGGATGGCATTATAATTGTAACATTTCAATTTGTTTACCTTCTGTTTGGTGATTATTACTGAAAACATCAGTCCCATGGTCTCTTTCGTTAATTACTTTAGCGTAGGGTTTCTTCAGCCATGAAAACATGGATGATACAAAGATGACCATGACTAAAGCCTGCAACGAAAATATTACCGGATGTATATATATATAAATTGCGCAAACAATGGAAATATCGGGAGTTATTATAATCTGAATTTCCTTTTTACTAAATAGTAAACTATGATAGAAAATAGAAAAGTCAATTTTAGTAAGTGAGTGATGCAACGCCTCAAAAGCATGTGATCCGGGGCAACATCAAAGATAATTTTTTGGTGGTACTCACTACGGTAAACTCGTTAATTATTCCATGGTTTTTAATAAACCTGAGATGTAAATGGTAGCCGATATCTCATTGAGAGTGAAATAACCACGGTAATTTGTTTGCATAGTATTCAATTCTGTGCCGTTACCATGCTCACCATTCCCCAGACCCTGGTATGCTGAGCAGTGGATTGCTTAAACAATAATTTGTCTTGGGGTTCTCTCATTCTTAATGATATCAGGGCGGTTAATTGTGTCTATTGTGCTTTATGCCATGTTCGCTGATAATTTACATTTACAACAGAAGGTACTATTTCTGTTTCTTAATATCAAAACAGTACAAAGTGGGTTGGATTTCAATGTCCACAAGAAACTTGTTTAATTTATCCGAACTTTATGTGAGAGTAACGAGAAGTTGATTAGTGATAAATTTCTGAGCAATGATTAATGGAAAAACAAGCGAAAAACTCGTGTAGTAGACATGTTCCTGTAGTACAAATTCCATGGCAGAAATACCAAGCTGGTTATGTTAGTTTGTTTGTTTAAAAATGTGTTGTGTTCTCAGAGTTATAATCCCTTTCCTTTCGATATCAATCAGGTATGTTGTTGTTTCTAACTTTAGTACCGAATATGTGAATACATTTGGCTTAAATCAATATCTTTTTCTTTAATAATTTGGTGTTAAGTACGAACTCGCTGCTGGTGATATGACTGAATATCTTGTGCGCCATGATACGTGTCATGAACGGCTCTTTGTTTATACAAGTCTGTATTGTTATTGGTATAATCTATAGACCTAATATACCTTATGCGCAAACGAGATTTCGTTGAGGGCGAGTGAGACACGAGACTTGGTCTTGTCCCTCAAACAGTACTATTTCTTCTGCGTCGCCATGACGAGACAGAATAAAAAACAAATTGCGGGACAAAAACATTGACGTTTAAAATATATTGTCATGTCATATCATTGTCTCGAATTCCCATTTATCGAATCTGTCAATGGCTTCTGGAATAAAGAGTGCATTGTGATAGTGGCATTTCATTAATAAAATAACCTCGTTTCTAATTAATTAATACCTAACAACAAACCGACTCAATCATATCTGCAAAAAAGAAATATTTTCAGTAAACATGATAATTAAAATAAAGTACCTTGAGAGGATCGATGACCAATGCAGATAAGAAAAACGACGTCATCTGTGACGTCAACCATTGGCGGGAAACTTCCGCACCCCATTGTAGACTATACAAGACAACAAAAAACGATGACAAAAACATTGCGCAAAACACGATAAACCATGCAATTCCAACGCAAAACCATGGTAACGGATGATCATTCTTTGGCATTTCTTTATCTCCATCATTTGTACAGTTCTTCCGTCTAAATGGCCTTGATTTTTGAAATAATTGCATAATAATAATCGACGGTGGCATTGTTATCAATGCGCTGATCAAGCCAATGTATAGTGTTCCCAGAGATAAACGCAGAGGTCCGATATAAATTGATTTGGTATCGCCCACAGCGTCTGCTGTATCATAGAACATAGCATTGGCAATCATAGCCAAGTAAAATGCTACTGCACAGCAGGACAATCGCTGAACTCTTGTGAAGTTACTAGGCACCGGACGGGTAAACATGGAACCCCACAAATAATCATCAGTCATTTTATCCCGTGAATTACTCCAACAGATATGTACGAAAGATGACATTTGTGTACCACCACTGACCGGCAGTACTCTTTCAACTTTTTCGTCTTCCCTATCAACGGCGAACCACTTGTAGCAGACGAAATTAAACCTGTAAAACATAACAGTTGCTGTTTCTGTAACTCATCAGATTCACACTCATCTTATTCCCCCTACTGAAACATCCAGACAATCGATCAGTCAATCAGTCAGTCAGTCCATGGAACTATAGTTTATAGTTCCATGGTCAGTCGGTCGGTTTCCGGCTTATATGGACAGCTGAACGAACAGACTTAACGTAGAAGAACAACGACCCTTTTTTCAATACATAGTTAATGAATTAATGGTTTGGATGGTTGGTCAAATAAGCAAACAACATATTTACCTTTCTTCAGTCTGTGTATCAAATACTTCGATTCGATCTAAGAACCATGAATCAAATATTTCCTTTGAGTGCTCACTCAGCCATATATGAATGTAACACAGAGGACCCAAGTGGCAAGGAACTGCCAAGAGAAAACTATGTACACTGCCAGTTGTGAAGGCCTATTGATTAGAAACATATATATATTTAGCAAAGCTGCACATAAATAAGGAAAAAAGAAATGACATGATCTCCATATTATGCACGATATTTAACTTTTTACAAAACGATAATACATTTAAATTTGGAACTGTTACAGCCATTTTAATTATGAGCATTAGCAAACTTCTTACTGAGTGAATTGTTATGCAAATTAGCAATTATCTCAACTTCTTTTTAGTGCACATCCCAGAAAAAATAGCTCCTAGACACTTTGACCTTTTGTTTTGAATTTTCACAAATGATTGACAATGTGTTTATCTTCAAAACGCCGTCGGGGCATTGTTTCTGGTTGAACAGTGTTACAACAATCGTACAGACAACTAGCCTGGGTGTTAATTTATGCATAAACTTGAAGTAGTGAAATTTGAGCTGCTGCCCTGCAAAATTGACAACTGGTAGACAGTTTTCAAGACGGAACTTTCTTCATAGTAAACAGATGTACCCGTAAACAAATGTTGACAGGAAACAGAAGCATGGTTTAGAAGCTATTTTTTTTTTAAATCACTTTTGACCAAAAAAGCACATTTTTGTACATATTTCAAACAACAGTGTCCATAAAAAAATACAAAAGCAAAATTTTAAAATTCATACAATAAGCTTTCTGAAAATATATAGTTTTGTGGACAAGGGAGGTCTTGGTTTCCTAATTAACTAATTAAAATACCTGATGGATGGGGCTGCCAAACACCAATCAATGTAATTCAAAAGTCCATTTCCATTAATACGAGCCAATCTGAGAGACAATGGCCTTCACCAAATATACGGTATTATTACACAATCAATGACATAAGTAAATATTTTACCGAACATGCCGATTGGAAACCATTGCCTAATTACAAAGATTCGTTGTTAAGTAACACTAAAGGGAGGCTATAATAAAATCATATTAAATCTTTGTCTTCATTCGCGTTCCTGATATATACTGACATGTTGACATTGCATTAAGAGAAAATATTAATATCATAGGACAAATCATGTGTTGTTTGTAATTATAGCATTTCGAATCCGTTCGATAAACAAGCCAGTATCGTGTAAAAATTCAAAAATGTCAGAGCAACATGAATGCCAAGTAGTAAGCTTTTCAACTAATTTGGATTGTATTGATAATGCTCAAAGGCAACCAACCATTTTGTTGTGTTTATCCATCAGATGGCGTATACCGGATTCCTTAGTTTCTCCACTGATATTAAACTGAATATCAGACAATGTACCAGCACCAAGTCGAAACCCGGTATACACAGTTACACGGTAGTAGTACTTGTCATTTGTTTGATTCCCGGCCAGGGGCAGAGTATACCACTGAAAATAAAAGAGCAATCACCTAATTATAACAAAATACGCAATAGCCAATCATAAGATGACGAAATATTCTCAAGTTAATGAAACAATTTATATATTTCATGTTATTTACCATATTCCAATCGTTTTTGTCCTTTCGTCTCAACCATAAAGCCAAGATAGCATAGATTGCAAAGAAGACAAGAACGGTAGCGAGTACCACGGCATTGTCGGCGATATCTTTGTTGAATACGCTCGAGAAATCGATTTTATTGACTGGAACTACAAACTCGCCGGCTGTAAACGATGTCAAATGGTTACAGACGCAGGTAATAGTGTTCATTTCTGATTGGACGGGCTGTATCGAGAACAAAAAATGTATATTGTAGCAACTGACAAACACACATATTAGCGTAAATCATATAGGCATATACATTTGAAACGCAGTGTTTTCTTTGTAAATACTTGTTACCAGTGCTAAATGTTAATAGGTGTTAATGTTAACAATAACCAATACAAATGTTAACTGTAAATATATTAGCACGCATTACCGAACAACCGTCAGATTTCCATTCTTGAATAGTAGTGTTCCAGTAACGACACACCAGAAATGTCGATGTAAGAGTCACCATGTAAACAGAAGTATTCTGTGTATCTGAATGACACACACAAAGAAATGTTACATTTAAACCATTACGAAACACTATATATGATGATATATATATATATATAAACTACTAGTACATATTGAAACCCTGTTCACGATAATGTGTAACGTTTGTTTCATGTCATTATATCTAGATTTATTTGTACATGCTCAGTGACTTGTAATATCGCCGTGTGACGTATGACAATGATAATTTTTATTTAATATTTTAACCCATCTTATTGATTCTAGGAACTGTTTTACGAAAAAGTAGACTCGTGTTCATGGCGAATTACTAATATCATTATAGATCAATTTTCTAGATTGATCTATTGATCATTGCGTCAAAAACCTTGATGTTACCTTTGAAAAATATAACTATACTCACAGCTTTTCACCAACAGATGATATGTATCCCTCTCCACAACACGATAATATAATATATTCGAACAGTTGTCTGATAATGTCCATTTCACGTCATATTGAGATTCATTTGGCATCATGCCAGCTTGCAAATATATATCGTATGCCACTGGTGCATCGACTTGTATAGTTAAAACTAGTGCAGAGTCTGCAGTTGTCGCATTCAACTCAAACGCACTTGTGTCATTGCCATACATCAATGCGTGTAAGCTGCTGTCTTCAGCATTATTGTCTGGTAGTGTGATATCGATGACGTAATCTCCGTCTATATAAACATTGTTACCGTTTTCATCCATGATGTCAAGGCTCACAATCGGTGAGTTTTGAAAAATGGCCGGCGATTTCAAAACGTACGGATTTATAGCCAATGCGACAAACTGAAAAGTTGAAAAATTAAATGCTAGTGTTCGAAGAAATATCATAATTGTACATACTTTAAAGCCGGGGTGTCGCCATCTGCGCATGCGGCAAACAGCCATAGCGTGTTGTTGTTTACAAATAAGCGTCTACCCATGAGCGGGTGAAGACCCCTCCGCTTTAATCATCTCACCTTTATTTTTGATATGAATTGCGTTGTATTCCTCGATTCCCGTGCAACACTCGGCAGTGTGAACCCACCGTAACTGGAGTTGAACTGTTTACCGAATAGTGCACTTGAATTCTGTTTGCTAACTTCAGCTTCAAACATGCTCGTCTTGAATGACACCGATTCACCGTTCGCTGGCGCCATCTCTAGCGCAATGTCTAAGCACGTATCGACTGCATCAATTAGTTTATTCATCATCATTTCATCCTAAGACAAGATTTAACATGTACAAAATGTGTTCATTTACTTGCGGAAGTTGGTGACATTTCACGACACAGATTTAAGTTATCAGATTTTGCATGATCTGCAGTAAACCTCTCACTGACACCCTGTACGCATCATACGATCTTTGGGTTTTGTACAGTTCAGGGGCAATCTTATCAACCAGAATCCAAGACACACATCAACATGTACACATGCAAATAAATGTGAGTGATTACAATAGATTTGATAATTAGATACCATGACTGTGCAATAATAATAATAATAATAAAAATTTAATAATAATAATAATAATAATAATAATAATAATAATAATAATAATAATAATAATAATAATAATAATAATAATAATAATAATAAATATTTCTTAAAACTACCTGTTCCTTAATCTCAATATCCTGATTAGAATGTGACCTCTCTAAAATATTTGATGATGTCTTCAGTAGACCTAAAGTATGATGACAACATGTATGGTTTATAAACCCACATAAACAATTGCATAATAATCCTTTGAAATGGATTTTTAGGTACAAAACAATAAATGAAAGTAAATATTTTACCTTCAGTGACACTCTTAACCATTACAAAATCAGTAATATTGCCCTCTTTAAGAGTACTTGACAGTAACTCACTCACTAATTCAATCATTATTACCCCTTGCATCTGGAAAAGATATATATGCGTGTAGACATGTTAATAACCAAATCAAAACATATATCTGAACATATTTCAATCTAATCTATTCGGTAATAATCGAGCAACAGCGTAATGGTTTAACAAATTTATGATATTACTGAAATGCACAAACTAATTATTTATGTCCTGAACAATTCTCGAATTTGATCAATAACATTTCTACAAAAACAAAAAGCAGTAGTATATTTATGCTGTCTTAAACTGTATTGTCTAAAACATAGCAAGTTCCGAATTACAAAATTTGCAAACACTGATATTAAAATTTGAAATATTAATGGAAAATGGATCGATGACAACGAACGGTGTTTCACTTACTTTTTTAGAACTCTTACTATTGGTTGGTTGATCAGCTTCCACTGTGCCACTTGCATCTTGTATCTCCTATAAATATGTAATAATTATTTAATTACTTAAATATAAATGACATACTTGGTATGAAATCTGTTGAACAACTCTTCTTGTCTGTTAATATTTCATATATAAAAAGTAGACATGTATGGGAAACTGCTGTTAGTAAAATGGTTTTGCCAATTAACCAACCTTTTTTTTGATTTACTTTTAATTTAATAAAGTCACATGCTTCTCATAATGTCGCATCTCGTGTATTTTTGTATATTTTCAGTATATATATAATAGTGAAATGAAGCCCAGTTGCGACTATTGTTGTTTCTACTCTGAATATAAATTGACAAGTTCAAAGTACACACACACGAACTGGAGCACATTGCCAAGGCAGCATAAACGTTTTCAAAGTGGAAGTTCTCAAATAGTATTCGATACACAATATACATACATAAATTGATACAATGACAACCCTGTAAACAAGAAGCAGCAGAGTTTGTATTTAGTTAAAATAATATGATATATAATCATAAAACTAATGAGTAAAAATCAATTACAGTCGTATAGTCGACATAACTCGATATTAAGTAACGTTTGCGTGTATTACAATGAATCCCGTCATGCATTTCTGTTCGAATTCTGCTCCGGTGCGTGCTAAACACAACTAACATAGGAATTACGTAATGTTCGATGTTTCAAGTTCGCAGTGTAACACGTGTAAAATACTGGTAGTCGTCTTATAAATTCAGAAGGGGGGGGCTAATAGCTATACAGAAACAGCCTGAGAGTCTGGCGTGAATTTCAGACTCATCCTAATGATAAATGCTTCTCATTGAATATTTATTTTGTAGTTTATTTTTGATCATCAAACAGAGAATCCTGCGTGTGCGATTCGGTGAATAAAAACGCTATTGCATACATTACATTACACATATTAGTTAACATGTCAAAGGCCGCAAATTCAATTTTGCCGGCAATAAAACTCTAAATGGAATAATTCAGCTTACCGAGGTCCATGTCTGTAATAAATTAACTACTGCATCTACTGACGCCAATACCAGGCTGTCATCTTCCGTGTTGGCTATTATGTTCAACATCTCTCCAGTAAGTATCTGGTCAACAGCAGCTTCCATGTCTGCCTCATTACTTATTTCCATCACCTGTATAATCATTCAGGAAAATATGGGGGCATGTTTTTTTCCCACCTGTATGCATATACATACGCGACATTCGAACCGAGTCAACATCCTTCCCTGTACCGATCTGACGCATATATTTTCGTCATTCTTTTCATTTTAACTAAATAACGATAAATAAAATTTAGAAACCTTCTAGAACTAAGTTTAATTATGTTTAATGGACATACAGAGTTTGAATGAAATATTTCCATGTACTAAATGACCGTCATTCGGCCATCTTGAATTGGATCATGGAACAAATGCGTGTGCATATATGTATGATGTATGTGTGAATTTTGGATGTGATCGGTCAAATCATATCAAGGATATGACGCTGTAACTGCTTTTGTTAAACAAAATGGCAGCTAGTCAGTCATTTTCCTTTCGATAGTAAGAGATGCGTATTGATTTCTGTTATTGTATGCCCCAGTTTTCTAAACCTTTTCTCCATGATTTATGTTTGGGTCACACACACACGACATAACGTGATAACGCTTGTGAAAAGTTATGAATTTTGGTAAACGTTAATCGGCTTTCAGGTCAATATTCAGTTTTAATGATCCAATGAGGAATTTAGTGACCACCGTGCAGCCGAGGTTAATATCACTTTTTAGGGTCTTTAAAACTGAATATTGATTAACATTGAAATAACTGCGCCTATAACATGACGAAAAGGTCACTAGATTGTTTTTATTGACTTCGAGTTGTATTCTCCACAACCTGTCATCGTCAACCTGACGATCTTGAATATAAAATGTATTTCTACATACTTACCTGAACCGAGGTGTTTATCAGAGCTGATGATCCTAATTCGTCGATTATCTTGATAAATATATCCACTGTGTAGTTGTTAACGACATCACCACTCGGAAATATCATGGGTGTGGATGTTGATTCATTGCTCATCGATATCAACTCGCTATCTGTACTAGAATTATGATAACTTATTTTGATTTGATATTTGAGTCCATTCGTGTTGCCATTTGTGTCTGTTGAGGGAGTACTGGGGTATAGAACGCTGGGACCTTCGTCTTGCCACTCATAACAGCTTATTTGGAATTTGTCCAACAGCGTAGTACCTGTAACGTAATCCCAAAATTTCAATATCACAAATTAAAATATCTTTTTTTAATTTTGTATTTCAAAATAAATATTAATAAATCTTATGATTTCTACGCATGCAAATTCTAAACTGCAATTCCTTGTTTTCGAATCCGTTGAGCCGCTACGATATCATTCTCTATTCAATATTATGCGACATTTTCTCTGCGTAATAATAATTAATGGGGTGTAGCTATCTTTATTAAAAACCTAATACTGCACACACACTTGCAAGCCAAGTACCTGTTTTAGGTTGGACGTCACAGAAGCCGCCGTTTGGCGGTGTGTTTATTTCGAAATCCAAATATATCGATGAAGGCAGGGTGTTGAATATTTCACACAATACTAACATACGGTATGTACAGCCTTCTTCGAGTTGGTTAACAGACAGCACATGTGTGGATGATAGTAGATCTGAAATGCGAGCAGTTGGAATATAACCATACGTGAGTACGAGAATCAAATATATATATAATAGTACACTAGTACAGATAATGTTCATCATATAGACGTGTGAGTAGCATATAAAACATATATGCAATATGTAAGAATGTTTCATACATAAAGATATATGTGCAGTACAACAGACAATAGTATTCGTAGATATATATGTCAATATGTGAAAAAGTGAATACCTCTATTGGCTGTAGCCGACGACTCAGTTTCATAGCCCAACACATCTTCAAACGCGTTCGAAATAATGGATTTCTGCTGTAGTTTCCATGTAAACTTAACCACTTCGTCAAGATTACAGGACTTACAAACAGTCTCGATGGAGAGTGGCCGCAAAGAGCTTACTAAATAATGAACGTCTCCAGGGAAACTGTGATAAAAACATTTGTATATAAGATTATCCATCGTTTATCTACCATCAATTACACTATGCAGTGTTTAGAATGGTATCTCCACTGTTCCTAATCTATATGTTATGTAAAATGTTGTGTATTTCGGATCAACATAATTTAAGATTGGTTACAGAATTTGGTTTCTGTAGGTTGTTTCTAAGCATTTCTTGAGACAACATACAGCAGACATAAGTATTATGCGGAAAAGAAATCTGAGTATGATGTAAAGCTATTGCTCTTATTGAAGATATACTTTTGTATATCGTGAATTCACGGTTTCAAAAACGGCATTCGCAAAATAAAATGCCAGTTGCTTGTTTTTTTTTTAAAAATAGTACATATTCGTTAGGATATGCGAAGATTGACTGGATACAGTCTTGTCAAGAATGTGGCACAACTATGTAGGTTTATTTGATTTGTTTTTGTGTTTTTTTCGGTGGTAATGTAACCCAATTATTTTATATGAATACCTTAAAAACTTGAATATACCAATTCAGATACATATTATTTTTGTATCACTTAGTTAATTTAGTTTCACCATTTATCTAATAAATTTCCATCATTTGGCTAATTTGCAACAATGAAACACTAAAACTGGTATCACAATACAACTTACCTAATGGTTAATTCCGGAACTGGAGCTGAAACAAAAATTATATAATATGATCTACGTGAGGTATTACACACATTTTGAAACCAGATTTAATCAGAATGCTTAAAGAGCGGTGGTTTTCGCGCTGCGACATGTTCGTCATGGGTCCAATAGTGACGTATATGACGCGTGTAAAAAAACTTTGTATGTTTACATGAAATTCGAGAACGTACTGCTAATCTTTCACTAATCTGCCCCAAAAGCGTTTGGCTTAGTTAGAGGGCGTGGCGTTATAGGCGTGTGTATTGTTCCTGACAGTGTGCACTGTTTTGTTCATCACAAATTTTTACTCCCAGATTCCCCATCACATGAGGGATCCGTCCATCGGGTAATGTTCTTGCCAGCGTGCACTTTTTGTTCATTATAAACTTTTACTCCCAGATTCCTCGTCACATGAGGGATCCGTCCATCGGGTAATATTCTTGACAGTGTGCACTTTTTGTTCATCTTAAACTTTTACTCCCAGATTCCTCATCACATGAGGGATCCGTCCATCGGGTAATGTTCCTGACAGTGTGCCCTTTTTTGTTTATCATAAACTTTTACTCCCAGATTCCTCATCACATGAGGGATCCGTCCATCGGGTATTGTTCCTGACAGTGTGCCCTTTTTTGTTTATCATAAACTTTTGAGTAGACACGGCTTTGTTCAAATCATACATGGTGTGCGGCACCAGAAAAGGATCGTTTCACAATATGGTATAGAGTGATTATGACCTGAGATTTATTTCATTGGTCGCAAAGGAAGCAATCAACTTTTATCACCTCTATATTTGTGTTCAAAACTGTCAATCTAAAAATGAAATATGTTTTCATTATGTAATCCCTTTGATATTACCAGTTGGGTCCCGTGCCACAAATAGCACATCCATGTCAAATTCGAACTACAGTTCGTGGAAATGTGGAGCTGAAGTATCAAATTTGACTAGAAATTAAATTAAAATAAAATGTGAATTATGAACTATTGTCATTAACCAATAGGCATACTATCGTCCAGTGGTCTATGCCAATGATCGACTTTATACGGGTCAAATACAATTAGGAAATTAATACGATCTATCAAAGTCCCTCTATCATAGAGGAACTATCGGTCTACGCTAGACAAAGTCATTTGTCACACGGCATCCATGTTAACCGTTGATTGAAATGTTCTTCAATTATGCATTTTCGTAATATTATCAAATATTTTAATATCACAAGTAGACTGTTTATAGGCTCATCCAAGGTTACACGTTTATTGCGCAACAAATGATGGGTAAAATAAAATCTAATGGCCCCTTTCATCATTATTAAGTTTTAATTATTCAGTAATATGTTGTAAACCGGGACTTTTCAGAAGTTCTAGCGGTTTTTAGGTTAGCTGGATCATTATTTGTATACTTATTTTGAACCTGCGATTTGCGCCTCAAAATAGCCACAAAAAACAGCTATTCATAAATCATATTCCGATACACTTTATTATGAAACATTTACTTTCTTCAGTTATGCCCGTAATTAGCCTTTTCACCACCAGACTGTTTCACCCCAAATCTGCACATTTTTCTTATATACCTAAATATTTTTGGAAATAAACCCTAATTTTTGAACCAACAGACAGATTTTCAGATTTTGTTTTTCAAGAAATTTGGTTATTTTTGTCTCAATCTTCTGAATGAAAAAGCAGACTATAAACGAGACTATTTGATATATATGTGATGAAAATGGGAACTGGTGGTGAAGGTTCAAATGTTTGTGTTCACATTTTGAAGTTGAGCAGGCTGGTGAACCGAATGTGAGTGGTAATACACCAGTGTGCTAAAATGGTCGCATTGTCTACACGCGCACCAGCACAAGTCAACAACATTAATTTCTCGAATAGTTTGCCCAGGCATATTCCTAATATTCACATTGCTACTTAAAGCAGTGAAAGTTCCTGTTACTCGTATTACATCACATATACTGTCTATATTAGGTCTTGTTTTAAATGGAGTCCCGTAAAAAAACCTTGATAAATTTATACCAAAGATTTTCGAATCCGTTTCCAACAAAACAGCTTTTATTTCATGTGTAAACCTATTATAACATTACTAGAAGATATTATATGTACGTCACTATTAACAGCTACAGTTTAAAGGAAACAAAACAAATGATTTTTTTGGTTTCAGTAGTAGGCATATCAATATACAAATAACTAATTTGTGACAAACTGAGTGAAAGAGGTTATCCAAGTGTGTATAAATATTGGATACTAACTAAATTCACAGCACGATGACCCTTGATATTCTAGACTATTTTGGATTAATTATTTTTCAGTGCCTACGTACTAATAATACTCAAATCAACAAATCAATAAATACCAAGAATGAAATACGACGCAAACTAGGGAAACGTAAACAAGAGAGGGGCGACTTCATCCTGCTACATAACATTTTTTGCGTTCTGTTCTTCAACCACTGAGATTCCTTGTTACCATTACGTTGCCTCAACTAAACAGATGAGATAATTCACTAATTTGTACTCTATTTCAACTGCAATTGCTATGTGTCACCAAAAATCTCTTCGCTATTCACAGCGATGTTGTTGTGCTGCACAGGTTCAAGAGTGTTACCATATTTATCTTTTCGCGATGAGCCTGCTTTTAACGAAATGTGTATTTTTTCTGAGACTGAGACATCCACGTTTTTATGCAGAATCGACATTCTCAGTCCACATTTTCTGCACGTGTATGAGCTGGAAAGATGTAGATAGATCGTCTCTGTCACAGCAAATTCATATTCTTCGCACGTCGTAGTTCTGTTGATCCCACGAAACAATCAGTTTTCTATTTGACTGCCACAAACAATGCACGTTGTTTCCTTGGTTCTAGACGATTTAATAGTCTCCTTTGTTACTTTGTTATTTTCATTGTGCTCATCATGTACACAGCCAACACATTCAGGATGTCAGCCATTTATAACAAATTTGCATACATTATGTTAATATAATTTATTTCGTGACGTTAGCATCAACTATGAATTATTTATATTATATGAATTATGTCAACTAGAAACCTGCAGACTCTCGGGACTAAAGTCCGTCGCGTAAAATACCTGCATTTCTAGGATACACAATTACATTAGGCCCGAGGACTGTCGACAGCACTACAGACACGTATGAGAAGCGTATATATTTAACACACGGTAGGGTTAATAATATAATCATTAGCAAAGAAAAAAAAGGATAGAAACATTTACGAAAGATGAGACTAAGATGTGGTGGGATCGTCCCTTCTAGCAGATGATCATCAAATAATAAAAAACTCCATAGTTTTAAAATACGTGCACATATGTTTGCGATTGCGACTATAGATACGTGGGCCGTATGCGACGCGTGGGGCCGTAACGATCACGACGCATCGCGACTAACCGCGGCGCTTTAACTGTTTATTTGTAATAAACCCCTCGAAAAACGCGACACATCTGAATAACGCGCAATGATGTTAATACAACAAATCTAGATGTTACGGTAACATGAAAATATGCATTGGGATTAAACATTTAAGAAAAGCAGATTGGAAGATGTCTAATCATTTAAATTTACTATTGAAATAGGTTAGCAATTATGTTTAGTCGTTTAAGAATTCAATCTATATTTCATTGCATAACGACATTGCTCTGTGTACTGACCTGTGTAATGCGTACACCCAGAACAATCGCAGTGTTCGGCCGTGATACCACACCACTTATTTGGGGAACAACAGTAACGAAGGCTTTTAGGGTCGCATTCAGCAGCAGGAAGCCCATTTGGTGCTGGAAATCCTGGACCACAACGTCCATCGTCTCGCCACTTATTAAGTTCTTCACCTTCAAATACAAAATCCAACGTTCGCTATAGTTATTCGTTTATATTAAGTAAATAAACAAACAAATAAACAAATTAATAAATAAATCTACTCACCGTTTGACAATGTTCCAAAAAATAAAAAGGTTAGAAAAACATTTACGAGTAAGTGCAATACACAGAGTTTGACATTATGTCTGGCCATTATGTTCTGCATTCTGGAAATAACTGTTTAGGAGCCTGATGAAATATGCGTGAATATATTTCTTTTCTTCTGAAAGACGAAGACCAATCAGATTGCCCCCATAGATAATTGAGAGCCAATCTAATATCAGGATAAAACAGTCAAAATTGTTGAATATATAATTTATTTATAATTTATAATAAAATTACCACTCACATATCAAACACACCAACCAACCAACACATTCGGTTCACTAACTTCTAGGAAATGTGAACAAATACACTTAAATCAGGCGCATTTACTGAAAAAAGTATCATATTTATTAAAAGCTTGTGATACTAAAAATATATACTTTGCTGTCTTTTTGTAGCCATTTTGCAAAACTTGCATATTGAAAATGAGTATACAAATAATGATCCAGTTACCTTAACAACCGAAGAACAGATGCTGCTACAAAAAAGTCACGGTTCACAACAGATTACTGAATAATTAAAATGCCGATTATGATGAAAGTGTCAATTGGATATTAATTTAATGTATCCAAATAGACTACTTATGTTATTAAAATATTTGGATCATGAAACGAAGATGCATCATTGAATTCCAATCGACAGCTAATATGTCCAATAAGAGTCCTACTAACCGTATGACGCATGACAACTTGTCGGAGAGAGTTTGGGAAGCCATTGCTCTGCCTTTCTCTGTGATATCCATGTAAAAGCTTTTATAGTTATCAAGTGAGAGGTCTCAATAATATGATTAATTCCATTCAAGTATCAAAATATTATTGATAGAACGTAATAATTTCCTAAAACGAATTTGGCTTGTATAAACTTGATCATTGGCATATTGTATGAAAATCCAAAACCACTAGACCATAATATGGCTGTTGGTTAATGATAATGGTTCACAATTCACATGTTTAAAAATGTAATTACAAGTCGAATTCAATACTTCAGTTCGCGTTCACAAATTGCATCGCTGTACAACAGTAGATCGACTTTGACATTTATGACTCAGCCTGCACTATTCAAGGCACAGGGTTTCAACCAGTAATATCTGCGGGATCACACAATGAAACCATGTTTCGTATTTTGGTCTATGCCACAGGGCTGTGTGACTATCTTCCTTATGCCTCCAAGATGTAGTGGAGAGTAAGAAAGCCACGTGACCTCATGGCTTCCAATTATGTTCTATTGTTTATCGTATTCACTGTTCTGCTAATCTATTACCCAGGGAGGGTCACTCTATGTGCCGTTACTACCCCATGTGCGTTCCAAATTTAGCGGGGAAGGGGGTGTTTTTCACATTCTAAAGCGGGCCCACGGGAGGCAAATATGCCCCTTTTAAAATGCTAATGTCTGCAATAGGCCCTCAGGAGTAAACTCGCCTGCCCGAACTTTCCCACCAGGACTTTCCCCCCACTTTCAACACGGGTTTGTTCTTCAATATGTCTCCTCTAGGGGATACTAAATTTACATAGCGTCCGCAATAGGGGGTATGGTTTACTAATGTCCTGCCAGCCCTACGTGTAAGGTTTTAATATAAAGTGATCCCTCGGGCCTATTACACCTTGTAGGATTTTAACATCGGGGGTCTTACAGCAATCACCTAAACAGGGTTTTCAAACGTCACAACCACAAGTTAAAGCCAGTGGCGATAACCTCCCCTTGGCCGTTTTGAATTTATAATAAAGTAATTAGCGATATCTTGAATTAGCGAATCAGGTCTCTCGCTAAATTCGCTAAAAAGACATGCTCGCGAAAAAGACATGTTTTACAGTATTGTCTGGCCAATGACGTGTTTATTTATGATCTCAATGTTAATTTGTGAAAATATTAATATTAAATATATTATGAGTAATTTCTGGGTATTTGCATTTAATAATTTTCTACCTTAAATGAAGATGTTCACAGCGACGAGATACATCCCATAATTAATGTATCTTTAATTTTAAACTTAAAGCTTCAATGAACATTACTCGATGGACCAGTCCCTCATGCGTAGAGGAATAAATATTTCTGAATAACAAAGTGCACGCGCCTGAAACGCCGCGCCCTCTAACTATACTAAATGCTTCTGCGACGTCCACACAAAGTAAATTAATATATATTAGATAATGCAATTAAATTAATTTTAATAAAAATTGCTGATTAACAAAAAACAATTTATACAGTTATAATCGTTCCAAATTTGGAATTCGCATTTCTTGATATGGTGATGAAAATACCCAGTGCAATACCGCAAAATTACGGCACGCTGTAACTTATGGCCGTTACGGTGACAGATGTATAATAATGGATATTATGTTCAATATCTCTCCAGTAAGTATTTCTTATTTCCATCACCTGTATAATCATTCTGGAAATTGTGTGGGTATGTCTTTACAAGCGACAACGGCAATGCGCCGCGCCACATTCAGGCCCAAAGAGGGAATTGTGACCAACGTGTAAGCAAGATTAATATTTCTTCGTAGGGCCAAAGACACTTTTTCTAGTATCTTTGGTAGGGCCTAAACTTACTGCATAAAACTGTGTTTAACTGCATTATGTAATATATTTTCATTATAAAAACTAATTTAATTGCATTATCTAATATATAATAATTTACTTTGTGTAGACGTTGCAGAAGCGCTTAGTATAGTTAGAGGGCGTGGCGTTATAGGCGCGTGCAATTTGTTTATTTATTTTATTTTATTTACACATTTAATGATAACCCATTTACATCAAAGAAATATGAATAATTACATAAAACTCTAAAAGTAATCTACCATGAGATCACACGTACACACACAGGTATTATAAGCCAAACTATCTATCTGTTTGTTCATCAGCAACTTTTATTCCGAGATTCCTCTACGACATCAATTTTCGGAAGTCTCTGGTCGTTGTAAAAATCTTCATTTTATTTACACATTTAATGATAACCCATTTACATCAATGAAATATGAATAATTACATAAAACTCTAAAAGTAATCTACCATGGGGTCACACGTACACACACAGGTATTATAAGCCAAACTATCTATCTGTTTGTTCATCAGCAACTTTTATTCCGAGATTCCTCTACTACATCAATTTTCAAGTCTCTGGTCGTTGTGAAAATCTTCATTTTAAGGGTGGTCGTCGTCGTGGCGCGTCCTGTTCGATATGGGACTCATAGCAACGTATACAACGCGTGTAAAATACATTGTTTATTTACATGGAATTCGAACACCCGCTGCGTGACGACCATCATAAATGCAAATACCCAGAATTTACTCATAATATATTTAATATTAATATTTTCAAAAATAAACATTGATATCATAAATAAACACGTCATTGGCCAGACAATATATAACATATTACATGCATGCTTCAGAGCTGGACATTGTATATGGTTGTATATTTATATGTAGTGCACATATAACTCGCAATATTAATATTAATGTTGCGGTATCGGATCTATGTTCGGTAGACACGGCTGTGTTAAAATACTACATGGTGTGCGGCACCAAAAAAGAGTCGTTCCATAATATGGATATCAATGATTATGCCCAACAGGAGGCTATCGCCACTGGCATTGAATTATGGTTGTGACTTATGTTAGAAAACCATGTTTAGGTGATTGCTGTAAGGTCCCCCGATATTCAAATCCTACATGGTGTAATGTGCCCGGGGGGGGGTCACTCTATATTAAAGCCTTACGCCATGTGCATTCTTGCTAAAAAAAAAATAGGCCCCTAGGGCAGGCAGCACATTAGCAAACCATACCCTCTATTGCGGACGCAATGTAAATTTAGTACCCCCTAGAGCAGACATATTGAACATATTGTTGGAAGTGGCGTGAAAGTCCCGGTTGGAAAGTTCGGGTGGGCGTTTGAGGCCTAGTCGGGGCTATGGGTCCACCAATTCGGAGCCTAGGGCGGTGTATGGGATTTGTTGTTGCAGGAGGGGGCCTACAGTAGACGCAGCAACACTATGAGTTTATTCCTGGGGGTTTATTGCAGACATTAGTATTTTCTACCCTAACCCCTGACCACCTGTATTGAATTCGACTTGTAATTAAATTTTAAAATAATGTGAATTGTGAACCATTATCATTAACCAACAGCCATATTATGGTCTAGTGGTTTTGGATTTTCATACAATATGCCAATGATCAAGTTTATACTGGTCAAATTCTTTTTAGGAAATTATTACGTTATATCAATAATATTTTGATACTTGAATGGAATTAATCATATTATTGAGACCTCGCACTTGATAACTATAAAAGCTTTTACATGGATATCACAGAGAAAGGCAGAGCAATAGCTTCCCCATCTCACCGACAAGTTGTTTGTATGCCATGCTGTACAATGAAAATCATGCGTCATACGGTTAGTAGGACTATAATTGGACATATTAGCTGTCGATTGGAATTCAATGATGCATCTTCGTCTTATGATCCAAATATTTTAATAACATAAGTAGTCTATTTGGGTACATTAAATTAATATCCAATTGACACTTTCATCATAATCGATATTTTTATAATTATAACATTAGTTTTTAATTATTCAGTAATCTGTTGTGAACCGTGACCTTTTTGTAGCAGCATCTGTTCTTTGGTTTTTAAGGTAACTGGATCATTATTTGTATACTCATTGTCAATATGCGAGTTTTGCAAAATGACTACAAAAAGACAGCAAAGTATATATTTTTAGTATCACAAGCTTTTAATAAATATGATACTTTTTTCAGTTAATGCGCCTGATTTAAATGTATTTGTTCACATTTCCTAGAAGTTAGTGAACCGAATGTGTTGGTTGGTTGGTGTGTTTGAAATGTGAGTGGTAATGTTATTATAAATAA